AAATAATATATTAAAATAAAATCAAAAGAAACTTGAAAAAGATTGCAATGAATATATAATATTTTTATATAATTTATTATATATAATATATAATATATAATAAAGGAAAAATACCTTATTTCCCAATAATACACCAAGTATCATTACAGGAATCGGTTTGCCAGCTTTTCCAATAACTTGTGTTGGATAACTAACAAATTGCAATGCCATATTACTACATACCATAGCAAGCAAATAAGTTAAGGCAGAAAGCGCATAATAAGTTTTCGGAGTAGTATCTTCATCCTGTTTCATGATTGTTAATAAACTTGTCTTGGCAAATAAATAATTAATTAAACATTGGAAGAAAACTAAAGAAAACATATACGTAAATTTTTCACTATTTTTTTCATCTCCATATTGTCCCCGTGTGATCTTTTCTTGTAACATACCAAAATGAAAATAACATACAAAAATGCCGAGAGCACAAAACAGGAGTTTGAACTGTTTCGTAGAAGTCATTGTATTTATATATGCATCAATATATTAGAATGATCATAAATTCTATGATATTTATTATTTTGATCATGAACCAATGTCACGATGAAGAGAAAAGTGTTCGAGACATTCTACATACATAGATTGCAAATGAATAATACGTGGCATTTAACTATAGGTTATGTTTTAAATTGTACTTAAATTATATATATATATATGTGTATGTAGATGTATCGAGTATTAAGAAATCGATATCGACTTCTTGATGAAAATAATTAGAAATACTTACATATATATATACATATATATATATATANGCATTGTAAGTATTATACAGTTTGTATATATAAAAGAAGAAAATTATATTTACAAAATTCTGAAAATATAAAATTTTAAAAAAATATTATAATCTAGACTTACATTTAAAGTATTTTTTTAAATCTTAACACTAATAACTGAATCTAACAATATGACACATTAGATTCAAATTGATTGCTTTCATATGAACTTGATTTCAAATTAACATGCAAATTCAGAACGAAATTCAAACTATATACATAACTATATACTAAATACATGATAATAACAATATATATAATAAATATATATAATATATATAATAATAAATATATATAATACATATAAATACATTAATCCATGAGAGTGATACTTATAAAAAGAAAATTAAAATTCAATAGACAGGAAATTCCTTATTGAAAATCCCGAATTAAATTATTATTGTAATTGTTATTGTAATTGTATTATTATTGTTGTATAATAAATTAAAAATTCAGTAAATGCCTTTAAAGCATTATATTCATAATGTTTTCTGACTTTTTCAACTTAAATTTCTTTCGTGTATTTTTTCTTGTACATTTTTATATTTTATAAAACGCGCAACAGTCAAACTAATAATGTTTCATATCTATATACACAGAAATGAAAAATGGATCGTGAACATCAAAAAATTCTGAAACAGAGATTTTAAGAAAAAAAAAATTTTTATAGAATATTTTTGTATTTTGACTACATTTCACAAACAACATCTACAATAAAAAATCTTATGATCAAAAATTATTATTAATTTTTGCTTTTGCGAGTATAACCATAACCACTACATCAATAGACAATATATATCGAACAGTTATTTTCTTGACCGCTAAATACGACATATAATTAAAATATAGTTGAAATTTAATTTTCCTTTTCCATATTTAGTTATCAATTCTTTGAAATTATTATTATTATTAGATTATTAATTACTATTATTATTATTATTATTATTATTATTATTATTATTATTATTATTATTATTATTATT